GAGAGGAGCAGCTTCTTTCCAGCATGGTGAGCCAAGAGGTCTGAGCGCCTCCAGGCAGAGGGTGTAAGGCTAGACTTTTCAGGCCATGCTACCCAGGCCTCTCCTGGAGATGGGAGGCGTCCTTACCAGCCCACCTGACTGCCTGTGCCAGGGCCGCACCCCAGGAGGCTGATTACAGGAGCATGCCCTCCCAGGACTGCCTGTCTTGGCCACAGCAGTTGCCTAATTTTGAATGCAATTAGTTGCTCAGTACCCTCAAAATTAGCAAGTGCCTAATTGTGTCTGCGATTATCAGCTGTACCCATAATTAGCTGTGAGTGATTTTTGTACACAAGTCATTGTATATGCAAATCTGTACCAGGAGAAGGCCTGGCGGGTGCAGTATGAAGAACCAGCTTCTCCCAGGGGTGGAGCAGTGAGGAGGGGAAGCTGGTGTGACAGCGAGTGCCTAGACCTGAGCCCTCTGATCTGGAGATTTGGAGGGAGCCTGGACTGACCCACTTCCAAGGAAGGGTGCAGCCTGCAGAGTGCGGTACCTGCTCAGGGGTCAGGTCACGCTGTTCACAAGCCAGTAGCATGGCTGCCAACATGGTGCCTGGCTGCTGCACCCTCCAGGGTGGCCACATGCTGTGTCCTCTCCTGGTGGCAGGAGGAAGGGCCTTGAGGGTGCCCCTGGAGGCAGCCTGTTCATGAAGGCCTCTTCCCCTTCACAAGGGTGGAGTCAAGGCTTTGGCTCAAATGAGAGCTTATCATCTGAGCCTGAGCTCTGAGTGTCACCTGTCTGTGTCCACTTCTCTGAGTCCTCCTGCTGTGTCCCTGGAAGGCCGTACTGCTCCTGGAAAGCAGTTCTGCTCCCCGGGCACCATGGCTGATTGTGTGGGACAGGCTGGGCTTGGTTATGTCCTTCCTCTCCCTTCTCAGGCTGCCTGCAGGGGTCTGAGCATCCATAGGCCTCTGTGTGTGGAAGCCCTGGTCACAAGGGACCATTCTGGAGCTTGCATCATGTCCCTAGAGAGGACAAAGTGGACATTCAACCTCTGGGACCAACGGTGACAGTTCATTGGGCAGGAGGCCCAGGTAATGCTAGACCACATAGAGTGAGGGCCAGGGACGCATCAGCGATCTTAACCTCATGAAGTGGGGACAGCCTGCATGGCCACGGAGGTCACGAGATGCACTGTGGCCATGTAGTACCCAGGTCTCCGGCAAAGAGGAACTCGAGCTATTGTCGGCCAGAGTCCTGCCAGCTCTCCCAGGAGGCCCCCTGGAGATGTGGGCTTTGCCATGGCCTTTTCCTGTGGGAGGGTGGTGACAGGAAGAAGGGAAGGAAGCAGGAAGAGGGAGGGAACAGGCGGAGGAGAAGCCCCAAAGTGAGCCAGCCAGGAGGAGCCGCCAGGACCTACAGAGCAGGTGAGTCTGGGGCCTCGCAGAGTTGGACAGCTGAGGTGGGAAGGGTGAGGGCGGCCTGGCTTAGTCTTTGCTATCACGAAGACCTGGGAATTGTGAATCCGAACCAGATTTTTCATGGTGTCAGAAAGGTGTATGTGTTGAGGGACGGGGGAAGAAATTTCGTCTGTTAGCTGGATTTATAACTTCCAAGAACTGCAGTACTTACGCTTATAGCATGTGGAGCCTCAAAATGTGATAAGTGGGCCTGGTTCTGTTCATGTCTGCTTTCCCAGGGCCTGCGACAGTGCCTGGAATGCAGCTGTCACGGGCCCAAGAAGTGTTTGGTAGCCAGGTGTGACTGTGGGTGCCCATAATCCAGCTACCAAGGAGGCTGAGACAGGAGAACCACTAGCCTAGGCAACCTGGTGAGACCCCGTCTCAGAATGAAAAATAAGACTGTGGCAGGGAATGTAGCTCAGCGGTACAGTGCCTAGTTAGCTTGAGGGTGCCCCCGGGTTAATCGCCTGTCACCAATAAAAACAATACGGATTCCTTGGCCAGACTGCCCAACACGGGGCTATAGCAAATCGAAGGTGGGGCCCGAGAACTCTGGTTTTTTAAAGCATTTGCTGCGTGAATGAGCCCCCACAGAGGCGCCAGCCAACCTGCTCGTAAGTGGCTGGCCGTGAGCACACTTAGCTCCTGGAATGCATGGAAGAAACAAGCCACACCGAGGCCAGCTACTTAAAAGGGGACTTTATTCACTCCTGTGGAGCAGTGTGCCACTGCCTGACTCCGCTCCGGAACACGACAATTCTGCAAAGATGCTATTCCGATCGAGACCAAGACTGTCTGGCACTAAAAACACATTGAAAACATCCACTCTCTTCCCTTTTTTTTTTCCTTTTTTTTTTTCGGTACAAAATGATACAAACAACAATACAAAATATTTGTGCTGTTGACAATTACAAAAGAAGTTGGAACGTTTGTCTAACCGCGCAATGCTCAGAGATGCAGTGTGAACACATACTCCAGGTCCTTCCAAGAACATCCACGGGCATGCGGGCTGCTACACATTGTCCATTTCCAAAAAGAAACATGCAGGAAAAAACAAAACAAAACAAAAAACAAACATCAGAATGAAGAAAGGAGAGAAAGAAAAAGTAAAATGCGTTCCAGGTGCACACGGGCGCCCCGCTGGACCACATGCTCGGAGCAGCACGCAGTGCTCTGTGCATGGGGGTTCCTTCTGATTTTTTGGTGTTCTTTTAGTTTCAATGGGAATCGAGACTCTTTCTCCCCTGGCTTTTTACTTCAGAGAAAAGAGAGTTGTGATCTTAGCGGACCATGGACTCACGCTAGGGAAACGGAGGCACCTCTGAGGGCCTGGCAGCCGGCCTCTACTGACTCTCTGGCGGCGGGAGGCCTGACGTTTTGGATGTGCTGAGACGAGGAAGAGAAAGCCTCCTGCCGGGAGTGGGCCCACCGAGCGGACCGCGCGCTCGGGACCGCCGCCCTGCGGGGCAGGCTTCTCCTGTTGGCAGAAGGCTAATCTGAAGGAGCTGAGCCATGCCATGCGCCCCACCAGCGCCGGCCACAGACAGCTGTATCTACAAGCTACAGAAGACATACGTTTGACACTGATTGTACATTGGCTAATGCCACCTCGGCCTCAAGTGGAGTTCCGAGATGGAGCTAGGAGGGCGTGGGAGCCCCATCTTTCTCTGGCCCTGGAGGCTGACTGAAGTGTGGGGTGAAGGTTGAAGCCATCCAGCTGTCAGGGGAAGCCCCCACGGATGTCCCCGCAGCTGGTGCCACGGCCTCAGCCTTCGCGACTTGGGGAAATGGGGGGGGGCTGGCAGTGAGGAGCCGCGGGGCAGAGGAGCCAGGAGGCCTTGGATTTCCGAGAAAGCAGCTCATGGCTGCCTCGGCTCCTGATCGTATGCACACTTCAAACAATCCACTCACACCTCTCGGACTTAGAACCTCCAGAAGGATGAACTGTCCAAAACACAAAAACAGAAAATCCCAGCTCCCATCCCCCAGCCCAGGAGCAGCAGGCCCTCCGATGACCACGCCCCCAGATACTTAGGACCATCTCATTGGCTGCCAGACTCAAGCGATTTGCATAGCACAGCTGAGGACTGGGACAACCCTGGCCTTTGTGAGCCACACTGTGGGACTGGCTGGCTGGGGTCAGCGTGGATAGAGCTCGCCTTATTCTTGGAGGACAGAGGCCGGGATGAGTTTGGTTAGGGGAACCCTGACGTCCAATGGGACACACCCACGAGTTTGGCGCTCAGGAGCCCACTCTGGGGTGTCTTTAGGCCAAAGCTGTGTAGAAAAGGGACAACCTTAGCAACAGGCTGAGCAGTGGTCCCAGATCCCCAGGTGAGGACATGCTGCCCCTGGCGCCCCCAGCCTCCGCCCCGGAAGCAGGGTGGGCGGCTGCACCGCATCCTTGTCTGTGTGAATGCGGGAGCCCCTCGGTCCCAAGGAGCCCAGGGAGCACAGCCTCACTGCTGGGCTGAGCCAGAGAGTTGTCCACGCACAGGACAATCCACAGGGACACAGACGCCCCAAGCCTAGTTTTTTCTCTGTCCTACAGAAGTGATCGCTGCACCCATCAGGCCTGAGAGGAGCCACTCAGGGTTGGGGCAAAGCCGAGCAGATGCTGTCCTGAGGAAGGAGGTCCGCTGCTTCTGGAGCGTGCAGGCATCTGTGACTAGGCCGCCACTCGGAGCAGGTCCATGGGGCCCACACAGTTTACAAGGGTCAGGAGCTCAGGGCAAGGGGGCCAGGAGACACAAAGGGGCTGCCTGAGTCCACTGAGGTTGGTGCTGGTTCAGGGGCTGTCCCATGAGACCCTGTCTCGCTGCTACCAGCACGGTGTTGGGTGCTGCCGGGGTCAAGGATGGCCAGGCCTGCTGTGTGTCCACAGGGCCTCTGCTGGGTGCCCTCGAGTCCTGTCACAAGGGGTGGGGGGCTCACGCCAGGGTGCCGCGAACACTGGCTTCTCGGACAGCCCACGCTCCTGGACCAAGGTAAGGGGAAGCTCAGCATCGGAGAGACAGCTGATCCGGTGGGCTGGGGACCCTGGGGTGGCCAAGGGCAGAGGGGGAGCCCCCGGGCTCCAGCTATTTACAGCATCTGGGGGTGGGGGGCAGCCACCAATCGAGGTGAAAGTCAGCTCCACACAGCCTTGGCTTCGGTCATCTTTCCTGCCGGCCCCAGGAAGCCCCGACTGTGTCCAAGAGGCTGCTGGGATTTGAGCCCCAAACTCTTACGTTAATCAAGTCATTCTTTTTTCCCCTTAGTAAGAAGGAAGAAGCCCGGGAGGACTCCTCCCCCTGCTGGACGCTGTCTGAGGCTTCGCTGGGCTCAGGCAGGGCTCTGGGGTGGGGGTGCTGGCCGTCACTCCTGAGTTTGGGGATCTGACACGTGTACCAAAAGGCACTTTTGTTTTGTTAACAGTGCGTTTGTCCTAGGAAATTCAAGCTGGGACAGTGCCTCCGGCTCTCCCCTCGCGGCCGCAGCCAGGCGGCGGCGTCTGGACAGCTGCAGGGGCGGGCAGCCGGGACCCCAGGGCCGCCGCCCCCGCAGTCCGCGCGCACAGCCGCCCCTTCCGTCCGCACCGCCCTCTCTCCGGGCTAGTCCTCCTCGCCGCCCCCGTACATGTCCGCCAGCTTCCGGAAGCGCGGTCCCCAGTCGTTCAGGTAGTCATAGTCTTGGTCCCCGGAGCTGGATGAGTTCAGGGAGCTGACGGAGCCCGCGGTGGAGCCGCTGCCCTCATAGTCGAAGACCAGCAGAGAGTCGTAGGGGGGCGCCGTGGGGTCATTGTCAGCAGCTCGCAGCCCCTGGGGGGTCACAGAGACCGGGCGTCGGCGTGGGCAGGGAATGGGGTGGGGACGGGGTTACGCGGCAAGAGCAGGTGCACCGGGTTGCGGGCGCAGGCAGGCGGACGCGGTGTGGAGGGGCTCAGGGGGACCGGGTCGGGGATGGTGTCAGGCCCAGCCTGGGCAGTTTAGTGCCTTAGTGAGATCTCGTCCCAAATAAAATAAGGGCCGGGACCACAGCTCAGTGCCCGAGGCTCTAGGTTCAGTCGACTCCATGGGCTGGTGAGACACACCCACGCCCCCCTGCTGCCCGCTGAGCAGGTGACCACGGAGGTGTAAGTCGCTGTGGGAGGCCAGGGTCATCCCGGGCGCCAGGGGCTGTGTGCGGAGCTGAGCAGGTGGACCTGGGAGCTGCCTTGCCACCTGCTACCTTGCCGGCCTCAGGGACCGCTAACCCACGTTTCCCGCAGCTGGGTGGGGGTGGGGGTGGGGGTGGGGTCTCCACACCCCAGAAGCTAGGGTGGAGCTAGGTACTAGGACTTTTATTTAAATTTGAATCCTTTTGCAGACAGATTCTCAGATTCGGGCCTGAAGAAGGCAGAGGTGGTCACACATTAGGATCAAGAGCCATCACCTGAGCGGCGGAAGAAGGGTCGGCGGAGCCTTACTTCATGGGATGTTTGCCGGACGGTGCCTAGGGCTGAGCTGCACAACCTGCCTACTTCCCGGGGCTCTGAGACCTCTATCTCCCCCTTACTCCCGTAGTTGCTGACTTTCCTTTCTCTAGGGAACGTTTTTCTTTGGGTTTATTTTGCCGTATTTCCTGGTTTCTCAGATCTTGGGTTTAGTTCGTTTATACCCATTCTTTCCAATCCCTTACATACCAGGTATGTAAGGCTCTTCCCTAAAATGTATTCTGCGGGCTGCCTTGGGGGAGGTGCTCTTTATCTTCCAGGGTTGAATGGTGTGTGGTTTCCATCTTTAATTCTTCTGGCAGTTACTTAAAAGTGGGCTTCCTGTAATCCCAGCACTGTGGGAGGCTGAGGCAGGAGGATCAACAAGTTCAAGCCTAGCCTGGTCAATGTGGTGACATAGTGAGTCACTGTCTCAAAATGAAAAATAAAAAAAGGGCTGGGGACGTAGTTCAGTGTGAAGCCCCTGGGTGGACAGGGAAGGGAAGTGTGGGCAGGCCGAGCATACTGCCCATGTCACTGTGCCTCCCTCCGTGTCACCTGGAGGAGGCCAGGATGCAGGCGCAGGTGCACTGACAACCCTGGCTGCTCATCAGGTGCAGCTGCATGTGCAGCTGCTTCTCAGAACCAACGCCAGAGGCGGGGCCCTTGAGGAGTCTGGCCCCCTGGCCAGCACTCTTGGGTCCTACTACCCTCCTGCTGCCCTGGTAGCCCTGGTGGCCCCAGATCTCTATGAAGCCCGAGTGTCCAGAGGAGAGAGTTCAGCCCTGGACCAGGTGTGGAGGGGGCTGTGTGCTCCTTACGCTGCTTAGCTGTGCTAATAGGATTTATTTTACAGGAGCCCTGGGGTCTGGGGCCTCCTACCACTGGGGAACCTACCTCGTTAATGAAGTCACCGATGTCACCGGGGTGGGGTACCACAGGCCTGACAGGGTACTGGGGCTCCGCGCCCACTGGCCGCTCATCCACTCGCCGCACCCCAGGGGCCTTGCTCAGCACGTGCTCCATGGCTTCAGGCTGCTGCAGCTGGCTGAGGTCGTAGTCCTGAGGCAGGCAGAGGCCATGCGTCAGGAGGCACTGGCACAGCCGCCTGCCCTGCCCATCTTGTCCGGCTTTGTCCCTGACCCCAGTGGTCCCTCCCAGGAGCCTGTCTCCTTTCTGAGTCCTCCAGGCAGGATGGGCTCTGTGTGCCCTTGGCCCCACTGCCCACCAAGCCACCTCAGACCCGCAGGCACTGTGAGGGAGAGGCATCCCTCCCCTGCCTGGGGAGCCCCGCATACACACCCCTTCCCAGCCCTCGGAGCTGGAGTGCGGGCAGCACTGACCAGGGCCCTTCCTCCAGGGACAGTGCAGCGCAGAGCTGGAGACAGCACTGGACGGAGGGCAGATGGGGAGGCCAGGGCCCTGGGGAGGACACAGCCCAGCCCTGGGTGGGCACAGAAGCCTTGCCCAGCTCTGCGCATTCTGGGAGGTCACCTCTTCCCTCAGAAAAGATGAATGTGGTAGGTGGGGCTAGCACCTCACCTGGTCCTCCTCGCCCCCGCCCTCCTCGTCATACTTGAGGATGTTGTCGCGCACGTCGTCCTCGGGGTCGATGAGCAGCTGCTTCGTGTGTCGCTCCTTCTCCCGCCGCTTCATCCACATGATGAACAGCAGGACCATGGCTGCAGGGGGGCCACATGGTGAGCAGTGTGTGCGGGCAAATCAAATGCAACCTACCTTTGCACACACTTAGCTCAAGCACGTGCACAGCTGGATGTGCACGTGTCCCGTGTGTGTAATCAGGTACATGCAGGTGTACACGCACACATATGCACATACCCGTGGAGAGTTGGATGCAGTGTGCACCTGTGTGCGCATGTACATGTCTGCACAGATTTGTGTGTGCCTGTGCGTGCCTATGTGTCCGTGTACATGCTCCAGTGTGCCTGAGCACATGCATCCATCTGCACATGTGCACAGTGCATGTGTGCTCATGGGTGAGTGTGCGCCTGTCCATGTGCCTGAGTGTGTGCAGCTCCCGCCATGCTACCCACTCCCTGCTCAGGCAGCGGACCGATGCTCTGAACCTCTTGTCTGCCGTGGTCCCTCAGTGTCTTGGGGCCTGGCTGTCCCTGCCCTGGGGGTACCGAATCTCCGGATGCTCAGGTCCTCGTGTTCTGGTCATAGAGAACACACCCTGTGTACTTTAAATCACGGCTAGACGACTTACAAGAGCTGACACATGTATGTGTAGCATAAACAACCCCTGATGCCACAGTTCGGGAATAAGGGTGAGGAGCCTACTGCTCAGCACCCGCACAGGAATTTTTTTGGACCATTTTGGATTTGCAGTGGAATGAATCCACAGCTGTGTCTCCTTGCCCTTCTTCAGAGCCGGGCTTGAGGAGGTGGCCAGCTTGGATTGGGGGTCAGGAGGGTGGGGCAGGGGCAGGGGCAGGGGCACGAGCAAGCCTGTTTTTCCATCATTCTTCTGAAGAGTGCGAGAGGAGACGACCGTGTCCTGGTTGGAGCAGAAGAGGCATTGCAGCCAAGTCTGTGTGAGTTCTGGGAGGATGAGGGGGCCCGGGAAGGTCTCAGACAGGCAGGCAGGAGGAGCCCCCAAGGATGAGAGTCTCCTCTGTGTGGCTCTGGGCTGGCGGGCTGAGAGGAGCAGGCCCAGGGGCTCCCCCATTGCCCAGAGGGACTATGGCGCAGGCTCAGAGGTTCAAACCAAGCAGAGCAGACAACCCACATCTGCTGAAGGGAAGAAAATTTGTCAGCCACTTCTTGGGCAGGGGACTCATATCTAGAATATATAAGGAACTAAAAAAAAAAAAAATCAGCCCCCCCCCCAGGAAAGACCCAATCGTTTGTTAAACAGAAGCAGAAGTACAAATGGCCCTATATACATGAAAAAATGCTCAGCATCATTGGCCACTGGAGAAATGAAAATCAAAAACAACTCTGAGATTGCTGTCCTGCTTCGGAAAGAACTGCTGCCTCCTGAACTCGGAAGACAGAGGCTCTGGGAGGAGCTCCAGGCGCGACTCTCCTGCCGTGCTGGGGCGTGTAAGCCAGCGCTACCGGTGGAGATTCCTCAAAAGCTACAGCTAGCAATTCCGTGTTACCCAGCTGTGCCTCTTCGGACACCGTCCTAGGAGAGGTAAAGGCATCAGACCGCAGCAGCACAGGCCCACAGGCGCTTAGAGCAGCTAGCTCAGAACAGCTGGCGCTTGCAAGCAGCCAGCCGTCCCCCAGCAGACAAGTGCGCTGGAGACTTGGCGTCTGCACCCGAGGGTGCTCTACTCTGCTACAGAGAAGGATGCGTCCCGGTCATTTGTAAAGGAATGGCTGTGCCCTGAAGCCCTGATGCTAAGGGAAGTGAGGGCTCCATAGCTCCTAGCTTCCCTTATATGAGGTCCCCAAGTGTAGCTAAAGAACAGGATACAAGATGAGAAGTAAGGAGGTGAGCCTTTCAGGAGTGTGTGTGTGTGTGTGTGTGTGTGTGTGTGTGTGTGTGTTGGGGGGGTGTTAGCGGGGAGAGGCATGAAGGATGAAGACGCAGCTATGTGTGAGCAGGTGCCCGGATGCATGTAATGATTGCACATGCGTGCTAAGCACCAAGGGATGGCCACACCCACCCTCCCCCTGCAGGTGGAGCTGCCCCTCAACTGGACTCCCAGGATCAGTGTCCGGGACCCCTGTCCTGGCTAACCGCTCATCTCCAGACCCCTAGCGCTTCTGTTTCCCTGGAGGCCTTGAGCACCTGTCCTCACGCTCAGCTCTCCGGACTGCTCTTGGCGTTGGCCTCTGGCTTTCGGAGGGGGCTCACGCCTGCCCTGCAGGCTCTGGGGGGAGGAGTGCGTTTCAGAGGTAAACCGGTGCCTACTCTGCCACACGCACAAGTCTGTTGCCCTGACAGAGGTGGGCAAGGTAAGTCTTGGAAATGAAACGGACTTTCAGAGGGGCAGGAGAGCCGGAAGCAGCGGTGCACACCTGGACCCCAGGCCTTGTCTCATAAAAAAGCGCATCCTCCCCCCCTAAACGGGGGTGTAGCTCAATGCAAGGGCCCTGGGTTCAAGCCCCATTAACACAGATGCCCACATGCACACGCATGCACACATGCGCAAGAGGTAGACTCTGGAAACAGGCAGAGGCCTTTCTCAGAGATCCGGGGTTTGGGGGGCGGCTTCCCAGGTCCGGAGGACAGCAACCGCTGTGGATCTGACTGGAGGCTCCAGCCCACCTAAGGACCTGAGGGCTGGTGGCTGGATGTGGTAGATGTGGTGTGGGGAGGGGCATCCCCGCCCTCCGCCCCCTCCTCTGTCTACACTGTGGAACCTGGGCTATTGGCCTGGCCAGCATGACGTGGGGGGAGAAGGGGAGGGGGTGCTTTGGGGCCACCCTCCCACTGCCTTCGCTCGGGTGTGGTTCCGGAATACACAAGAAACCACCCGGGTGTGGGCATGGGATGAAGGCTGGCAATTGGCTTTTGGGTGAGCACGTGACCTGAGCCCGGCCATTCAGCGAAAGCCCTGGAATTTTGGACAATTTTGGAGGAGACGTTGGCAGGCTGGGTGATCCTTCCTCCCAACAGCCACTAGAGAGCTGCCTGTAGGCATTTTAGGGTCTGAGGGAACCGGGTTTGGGTCACAGGGGCTCTTGGGAGGCAGAGTGGGGAGAGAGAAAGGGAGCAGGCCCCAGATGCTCCTGCAGTTCCGTATCAGCATCCCCCCGCCCCGGTCCTGGGCTTGGCAGGAAAGAGCCCCAGTTTCCTGCTATCCATGGGGTTTCTCCAAGATTTCTGTAGGGAAGAAAAGGCTGGGTAACACCCGAGCCTTCGCACCCCGGCCCAGGGCTGGGCGCACTCACTCAGCAGGATGACGATGCAGATGAGGATGGCCACGATGGCGCCTGTGCCCAGCCCGGCCGCGGCCACGGCGCCCACGGTGGTGCAGTCGCCATTCTCGTCGCACGAGCACACCTTGACCTTGATGACGGACGTGTTGGACAGGGGTGGGTTCCCCGAGTCTGTGACGGTGATGGGGACCTCGTACATGCCGGCCTCCAGGTACAGGACGCGCAGGCTCAGCTGGGCATAGTCACCTGGAGCGATGCAACGCAGACCTTAGCGGCTGCCAGCAGCTGGGCACCTCCTTCCTGGCAGGACCCCCAAGGGGCACAGATGTCATGGTAGGCAAGCTCCAACTATGTGGTGTCTCACACACACGACATCAGCAAGTAAAATGCAATTTCAATGTGAAGGATGAAGACATTATTTCCTGAATATATGAAGTTGTATAGAACCAATTAAGGAAAAACCTCTCCAAAAAAACCCCCATGCTGAATGGAGAGTTCACAAAAGAAACTAAAACAATACATTAAATTGAGATATTTAATTAAATTAATTTATTTCTTTTCTTTTTATAGTTTGGTACCTGGGATTGAACTCGGGACCTTGTGCTTACCAGGCAGGCATTTATGCTGAACTATCTCCCTAGCCCTATTAATTTAATTTAATAAATACATAATGTATTTAAAAATTTATGGGCTGGGTGTGGTGTCATGTACCTACAATCCCAGAACTAGGAAGGCAGGCAAGAGAATCGCCATGAGTTCAAGGCTGGTCTGGGCTACATAGCAATTTCAACCTCAGCTTGAGCTGCACAGTGACACAGTCTCAAAAAAAAAAAAAAAGTGGCCACGAGATGGAGGTGGAAGCAGTAGTTTCTGCTGTGAAAGTTGGCAGAGCGCTTTGGAAGCAGTAACACTCAGCACTGGAGAAAGTGGCAGGCGGGTGTGCACAGTTCCAGAGAGCTCAGCGCTGTCCACACTTCAAGTCCTGGTGCCTCGGAGGCTCCAGATCCTCCTCGGGAAGTGCACAGGCTGGGCCCAGCCCCTGCCCCCAGGCAGGGAGTAAGCTGGGTAGGTGCAGGCAAGTGAGTGCGAGGGACCTTGGAGGCGGAGGGGTGGAGGGGACGGGTCCGCAGCCAGGCACGGTGGGCAGGCCCCGCGGTGTTTGCTCCGCTCAGCTCTCTGCCATGAGCTGTGGTTAGAAGATGGCCCGGGGGTGTACCTGGGCCTGTGTCACCTCCGTGGCCCGGGCTGTACCTGGGCCTGTGTCACCTTCATGGCCCCGGGGCTGTACCTGGGCCTGTGTCACCTCCGTGGCCCGGGGCTGTACCTGGGCCTGTGTCACCTCCGTGGCCCGGGCTGTACCTGGGCCTGGTGTCACCTCCGTGGCCCAGGGCTGTACCTGGGCCTGTGTCACCTCCATGGCCCCGGGGCTGTACCTGGGCCT